TAGACCTTTATTGTTATTTATTATTAGTTATTTATTCTTTATTATTATTTTTATATTATTATTGTACTAAACCAACCCCTTATAAATCTAAATATTATTTTGGCCTTTATTATTATTAATTTCATTACTATTATTATTATTATTATTATTATTACTAAACAAAACCTCACAATTACACTAGTTAGTTTCCATTTAATTTTTTAACCTTTTTTTTATAAAAATCAGTTTTTTTGTTTTTAAATAAAGCAGCATTTCCATCCAATGTGTTCCCAACAAACAAAAGCGGCACTTCCTGGAAAACTGCTTCAAATGATTCGTAGTAAACATGGAGGCCGCTGCAGCAAGAGGAAACAACACTAGATCTATGTTCCTACATAATAAATGACATCCACTTGAAACAACACACAGAACGACACACACAGTAACAAATGTTGTTAGGATGTCTTATATTTGGGTGGCTGTTGTTTAAGAGGTCATTTAACAAATCATGTTCAGGCTTTTAAGAAAATTGATCAATGAATAATCTGCTGATTAGTCCAGTTAACCAATTACATGATCTGTTGCTAATTAATTTGTTTTAATTATTATGTTTAATGTCTACCTTAAAATACTTCTCATGAATCTTGCCGATTTCATCCAGCAGTTTTATGGGGTATTCCAAAATACTCATAAAAAGATGTGATACTGTATGTGATTCAACTTTAAAACATTCAACCAGAAATGAAAGATCTGTCAGCGTTTGCTCAGTTGTTCCAGATTGTCTGCTTTCCAACATTCTTCACAATATCTTCTTTTGTGTTTAATTAAAATAAAGAAACTAAAGACAAATTTGGAACAAGTGAAGGATATTTAAATGGTGACAATTTTCAATTTTGGAAAATCAGTTTATCTTATATTTTGTTTTTGTTGCAAGTTATGTTCAAATCTATCATCTTTGGCCTAAAATATATCTACCTTCCTTTCTTCTGGTTAAATCTTCTTCATACACTATAAATCTATACCCGTTTCACATTACTTTTAATGCAAGTCACATCCACAGTAACTTTCTCTCTCCCGGATAAGCATGATGCCTCATGTTTAAAGTATATTTAACAGTCATTTACAGAGTTCTGTTGTTGTATGTTTGCAGGGAACATCAGGACCCGATCCTACAACTGTCTATGTGGACATGAGAGCACTGAGACACGACAGGCAAGACATAAACACACTCTCACACACTTATCAGATGTATCAGTATCCAGAAAAGATGCTGCTAAAGGGACAGAATTGGTACAGATACACAACCAGGTCAAAAGCAGACCCTTAACATTAAAATCAAAATTTAGAAATGAAACTGTACAATATTTGTTTTGCTAGTGCACATAAATTCTCTCTTTATGTGAACAGTTAACAGAGCAAGTTGATTCACTGTAAAAAAAAAAAAAAAAAAAAAAACAGTTTGTTCAATTAAAGTGGTGGTGCTTTTCTGTTGCGTCAGTTTGACGGGTCCAGCCACAGTTTTCTTAACCATGCCTCTCTTACCGTTAGTTTGCTACTAGGGAATGATGCACAAATGAAAGTCACGCCCCTACACAATATTCCGTTTCAGTTGGAAGTACATCAACATACTGAAATAAAAGTCTTTGCAACCTTCGGTACACATCGGCTTTAAATATATTTAATATACATTCAGTTTTGTTTGTTGAATGTTGATTGGTTCCAGTGACAGACTCAGAGTTAAAACATGTAACTAAGTATGATACACTATTTAATATTTAGTTATTATACATTTTTCATTTAAAATTAAATAGAAAAAGAGTACAAATCGAACAGATTTAAGGTTACCAGAGGTGACTAAGGGCCTTATCATACACCAGGCCCAATAAGGCGCAAGACGTGTTTGGCGCGATTTGTTGCTATTTTCAGACCAGCGCAGCAGTAATTTTCACGTTTTGCGCCACGTTGTTTAAATAGCAACTCCATTTGCGCCACAGCTTATTTTTGGGACCGCAAAAATGGATTCGGGCATGCCCTTAATGTATTTGCTCCATGGACTTTGCGCCTAGATTGTTAAATTAGAGCCCCATGTCAACAAACAACTACCCCATCTTGATAGTGTTTTTTGCTTTGCTTGAGTTACGATTGTAAAACAGTAATTTAAATTTTTTTTTAAATATTTTTGTGTTTTGCCATTTCTTGTGTGTTTGCAGGGTGAGACTGGTTGAAAGAGGCTCTCCGCACAGTTTGCCTCTCATGGAATCTGGGAAGGTTAGTAAGGCCTTGTTATTTAGATGCTTTTTGGTTGATCGCAAAAAGACGAGGATACACTCTATTTACACCTGGTGTTTAATTAATTCTTTTTGTCCACTTTCAAACACATTGTCGATTTATTTGAAGGATGGATTGATGGACTGCATGTACGTATAGGGGCTTTTTACTTATCTTTCGGTCTGTTTTTGTGAAATAAACTCACAAGGTTTACATATGAACAAAAAAAGGACACTTTCAACAAACATTGCAAAGGGTTTGGGTTTGAATCTGAACTGGTTGGAGAATTTTTTTTACCCTGATTTAAAGGGATTGTTCTCCCCAAAATGAAAATTGTTGTACTCACACTAGGCACTGTTGCATTGAACCAGGCCAGGGTGCGATTGACCCCACACCCCCCCAAAACAGCCTGCACTCACATTGCATATTATCTTCCAAGCCTGAGCATACTTACATCATTGTTAATGTGACAGTTAGGAAGAGAAGCGCTCTAGCTCAGTACAATAGAGAATGCTTTAGTTATGTTGTTTAGAATTATTTTAAGTTGTTTGTGATGCGGTGACATGTGGTCTTTTGCTGAACAGATCCACCACTTTTAACTCTCATAAAACTTCATGAAGTCCTCGTGCTGCATGTATTAGGAGGTTTGCTGATGGTGCAGCTGACGTGCAGTGAGGGCTTTGTGTCTTTAATAAACTACGACAGTTTGCGTTCATTGAAAAGTAAGAATGATTAATAAATTCATATGAAACAGTCCCTTAAAAGTGCATCGCGTCTTTAGTTTCGCACTCAGGCGCTCTTTGTACTCACGCTACAGGCGTACCACGCCAAAGACCAACCAAACCATGCTCCAGACCACTTCTTCCATCTGGGCCAGGGCTGGCCAACCGAACCACATTCGTAGAGCTTAGTGTGTGTGCACCCTTACTCGTCCTTCACTTGTTCCAGAACCATATGACATTAATTCTTCTGTTGAACACAAAAGAAGATATTCTAAAAGAAAGATGGAAACCTGGAACCATTGACTTCCTGTTGTGTTTGTTTTTCCTACTATGGATGTCAATGGTTTCAGGGTTTTCAGCTTTCTCGAAATATCTTCTTTTGTGCTCAAACAAAGAAAGAAATTTAAAAAGTGGTGGCAGAGTAAATAGTGAGTAAATTGCCATTATTGGTGACTTACCTTTATGGTTTTAAGACGGCAAAATTTTCAAGTCAGAAAAGTTTTCACATAAGGCAATTTTACAGCTATTTAAACTCATTTAACAACAGAAGCATTTACACTATGAAAACAATTTGGGCAAAATATGTTTTCCACTACATCTGAAACTGCAAATTTCAACACTGCAAAAAATGAATTTCTTTCTTATACATTCATGTTTATTTCTATAGCGCTTTTGCAATGTAGATTGTGTTAAAACAGCTTAACATAGAAGTTCTAGTATAGTGAAATTGTCAGTCCCGTTTTCAGAGTTGAAGTTCAGTTTAGTTCAGTTCAGTCTGGTTTAAATTTCACTGCTGAAAGTTCAAACACTGAGAAACAAATCCATTGATGCGCAGCTCCACAAGTCCCGAACCAAGCAAGCCAGTGGCGACAGTGGCGAGGAACAAACTTCACCAATTAACAAGACTTTAAACCTTAGACTTGGAAAAGTTAAGAAAAAACTTACTTAATTTTGGCATAATATTTTTTTTTAAACAAGACAACAGTTTTTGCTTGTCTAGAAAATGCTTCTTGATTTAAGAATTTTTAGATATTTGGACTAGAAACAACCCAAAAACTCTAAGAAGAAATCAGATGAACAAAAGTGCATCAAGCGTAAATGGTGAAGCTGGTTTCTTCTGATGAAACTACAAACTTCATCAGCAGAACTGTAGGGATATGTTACAGCTTGAACCCAAAATTGACCAGTCTGTCAGATGAAGAAGAGCCGGAGTCAGAGATTCAATTAGAAAATAAGTTTACTGAAAATAGTTTGCAGTTTCATCAGCAGAAGCCAGCTTCAACACTTGCAAATGATTACGTAGGCCACTCTACTTAAAATCTCGAAAGCATCAACAATTATACTCTTCATAATGTCATTAACTGCATCATACATATAGGTGTTTTGACCTGATGGGATTAAGCACAGGTAGACTTAGAAAATGTCCATGTGCATGTGTACAATATCCTAATATCTCAACTTTAGAGCTGACCCAAGACCTGTGAAATGATCCAAAAATGAATAAAAAACACACACACACAAACCACAATCTGTTTCTTTCCCAAGGCTGAGTGTACTCTCAGCAATCTTATCAAAACTGGTTAAAAACCGGTACAATCTACATCCAAACTGGCAGCTTACATACAGAGGAATTACCATCTCTGAGTCTTCTCTTCATCTGACACACCAGACTTCTACAGTATTTTTAACTGTTAATCTTCATCCCAATCGGCAGGGCCTAACATAACACATCTGTAAGTGTGTCCTTAAAAGAAAAGCTATTTATTTTCTTTTATTTTTGTAAACAGATTTTACCTGGTGTACGCATCATCATTGCTAACCCAGAGACGAAAGGACCAATCGGAGACTCTCATTTAGGGGAGGTCAGACCAGTAACACTCTCCTCTATCAGGTCGAAACTATATCTTCTCATAAAGCAGCGTTTCACATGTGCCTATTTTAAAACCCACACAGATCTGGGTCCACAGTCCGCAGAACGCCAGTGGATACTTCACTGTGTTTGGCGAGGAAAATGTGCGTTCAGATCATTTTGGAGCCAGGCTGAGCTTTGGAGACACTCAGACGGTGTGGGCCAGAACTGGATACCTGGGGTTCCTGCGCAGAACTGACCTCACGGATGCAAGCGGAGGTGTGTGTGTGTTCAGTGTATATTGTATTATGCTGACCATTAATTAAAAATAGCTCAAAAAGTAAAGAATGGTGCTGGTAACACCTTAATTAAGTGGGTTTCATTGCCAAAGGAAAGACAGAACTGAAAATGTAACTTAAATGAACCTTTTGCTGGATAAAGTAGGATTTTCTGTGCATGAATGTAGAGAATGATTTTAGTCATTATGTACTTCATTTGTGTGTGTGTGTGTGTGTGTGTCCAGAAAGGCACGATGCCCTTTATGTGGTGGGAGCATTAGATGAAGTCATGGAGCTGAGAGGAATGAAATACCATCCCATTGACATTGAAACGTCCATCATCAGAGCACACCGCAATATCACAGAGTGGTGAGTACACACACACACACACACACACACATATACACACATTCAAACTACACAATTACTCTATGTATTTTTAGTGAAGCCCTTTGAATTAGCATTGTGTATGAAATGTGCTATGTAAATAAATTTGCCTGTCATTTAAATATGCTAATTAGGTGTGGGTTAAGTTTTGTGTAAATCATAATTATATTTTTCAGAATTTATTCGTGAATTGTTACTTATTTTTTTTAACATTTATTATAAATGTCTCTGGGCAACACGTTGGCTCAGTGGTTAGCACTGTCACCTCACAGCAAGAAGGTCGCTGGTTCAAGTCCCGGCCGAGTGCTTTAGACATGCACTATAGGTGAATTGAATAAATTAAATTGGCTGTGGTGTATGTGTGTGAATATGCTGGAATAGTTGGCAGTTTGTTCCTCTGTGGCAACCCCTGATGAATAAAGGGACTAAGCCGATGGAAAATGATTGAATGATAAATGTTTTTACTGTTATCTTTGGGTTGCTTATGAGTAAAAGTAACGTTAATAGAAATAAGTATGTTTTAACAGTACTAATGAATGGTCAAATCTTTCCTCAAAGAAATGAAGCAGGACAAAGCTTTTCAACAATGATAATTGAGCAGAAAAAACTGCATATTGTGATCATTTCTGAAGGACTGTGTGAATCTGAAGACTAGAGTTATGATGCTAAATTCAGTCTATTTTAATTTGATATACTCTAATAACACTGAGATCTGTGCCAAAACTACTGCATGTTAAATACAGCGGGAAAATAAGTATTGAACACGTTTTTCTCCTGAAACATATTTCTGAAGGTGCCGTTGACTTGAAATTTTCCCCAGATGTTGGTAACAACCTAAGAAATCCATACTGTATATGCAAAGAAAACAAATCTAAATATTTTACAAATTAGGTTATATGTAATAAAATGAAATGACGCAGGGAAAAAGTATTAAACACATGAAAAAGGGAGGTGTATAGAGGCAGTGAACGCCCAGACAGCAGCTGGAATTTCTCCATAGTTATTTATTTATTTACATTATCAGTATGGACATTTCAGCAAGACAATAATCCAAAACACAGCCAGGGAAATTCTCAAATGCTTTCAGAGCAAGATTTTGACACACTGTTGAATTTTGTGGGAAAACTCTCACCTGAGCAATACATGCGACTTCATTCTCCAAATGAGAAGCTGCCTTCTCCAAAATACTTTTTTTTATAAAGTGTTAAATATGTTTCAGTAGTTCAGTATTTTCTCCCTGTGTCATTTCATTGTTATTACAAAGAACTCATTTTTTATTTCTATGTTTCTATTGTTTGGGTGTTTACCAAAATCTAGTTCAATTCCGTGTCAACAGCTCCTTTAGAAATGTTATACCCAGGAAAAACATGACATAGTCAATACTTATTTTCCCTGCTGTAACACTTGATTTAATAACCCAAAAATCTAACACTAAAAGGAATCGTTTACCCAAAAACAAAAATTAAGTCACCTTCAAGTAATTCTAAATCGTTTTGAATCAGTTGAACACAAAAGTTGCTGGAAACCTGTACCCGTTGACTTTCATTGCTATTTTCCCCCTCAACATTCTTCAGTATTTCTTCTTTCGAAGCTCAACAGGTTTGTGACAAGTAAATAATGAGTTTTATTCAGTTTAAGATGAACTATCCCTGTAATAACTGAATGAGCCACCTTCAATGTGAACATGTTTTTAACTGGCAGTATGAAGTCTCAATATTGTAAGATATAAATCTCTGTGGCTCTTAAAGCGGATATGCTGTTATTCAGGAAGTCATCCGTAAACTTGCTTGCTCAGCAAGATCCAGTGTTGCTGACAATACAGTAGTTTGACCTGAGAGTGAGGGAAACCTCCCCGCAGAACAAGACGCTTTATGCTAATGCCTAGCGCAGTGAACATACAGTTGAAGTCAGAATTATTAGCCCTCCTGAATTATTAGCCCCACTGTTTATTTTTCCCCAACTTCTGTTTAACGGAGAGAAGATAATATTAGTTTTAATAACAAATTTCTAATAACTGATTTATTTTATCTTTGTCATGATGAAAGTAAATATTATTTTACTAGATAATTGTCAAGACAGAAGTGTTCAGCTTAAAGTACATTTTAAAGGCTTGAAGATGCTGATTGATTGACAGTTTTTGACTATTCTAAAGCATAAAAAGACCATCATATGTTTGCAGATATTGAAGAAACATGCTAAGTGAACATTCTTGTATATCTTAAAAAAAAAATTGCTAAATTCAGATAATCTGTTTTAAAAATGTGAGCTATGTGCCCGAACGTCTGTCTTTGTTTTGTTCATTTAACCCGCCCAATATCACTTTAGCCAATTATATTTCAGCATCCCAGTTGCCTTGTTGGAAAACTTCAATCAGTCAGGAAGGCTCTCAAAGTACGTGTCCGTGACTGAAATGCAACCTCCGGTGGACATTAACAGCCTCTGAAATGAGACACAGATTCAGAGTTCCACATGAGGTTATTAATTAGCAAATAACATTACGAATATTACGTACGTAAACATTTGGTGAGCAGGTTACATTGTAACCCTGTGTCCTAACAACACGCTACGTGACAAGATTTGCAGTCATAAGCAATTGGACGGTTTGCACCAGACGAAACAAAACAGACTTTTAAATACGGCCATTCAGAAGCACAGAATAGTGCACTCACTGCACTCCAGCGAAATGCTAAGATTCATAATCTAATTAATACATAGTAAACCTCTTTAACAATATTTAGGCCCAATCCCAATTCTATTTTTGTACCCCTACCCCTTGGCCATTGAAACAGATAGTGAAGGGGAAGGGCTTTAAAATTCACCCAGAGGAAATGGGACAGCACTACAACACCTGAACACGTCATCAGATGTCATCGCGCTCTCTTGCTTCATATACAGTAAGATCAGACGATCGCGACTGCTGGAGTTATTCCAGTTGTGCTATTTTTTGCTATTTATCTTCAGGAAATCACTGAAGGCATCTATCATGTTATCTTAACAATATAATGTGGCAATAAGATTGTAACTATACTGTGCATTTACACAGTGCCATATTCATCTATGTAAACACACCAAAACAACATTAACATAGCAGACGCTTTAAACAGCTCTTTCCCAGACACTAGACATTACTGACAGGGAATTCCAGTATCATCAAGTGTCAGAATGTTGTGGGACTGCTGTACAGGAGTTATTAGAGATTATAGAAATTTATTTTTTATTTTTTATTTTAGCATTTTTTTAAAAAAGCATGACGGTAAAACATAAACATGGTTATGTCGCCTCGTGGTTTCATCCCAAAGAGGGAAGAAATCACTTTCCCAAACTCTTGCATTCAATCTGCCCAGTTGGTGGAATGAACTCCCCAACTGCATCAGAACGGCAGAGTCACTCGCTGTTTTCATAAAACGACTAAAAACTCAACTATTTAGTCTCCACTTTCCTTCCTAATCTGCAATTGCCTCTCTGGTTCTACCGCTAATTGTATTACAAAATTATTATTTTTTTAATTACTAATGTTTTGCTTCTTACACTTCACATACCCGAAACTTGCCTACAGCACTTATTCATTGTTGCTCTTATAGTTGTGTAAATTGCCTTCTTGTCCTCATTTGTAAGTCACTTTGGATAAAAGCATCTGCTAAATGACTGAATGTAAATGTAAATGAATATATTAAAACACATTTCTTGTTTGTTGTAAAAATTCGGAATAATGACAAAAAATACAAATTTTTGGATCTCCTTATTTCCGGGTGCAGCTATGCTGTCGTTGTGGCTGGTTTATTCTGGGAAATTTTCTTACCCCTTGCTTTCGAGTGTGGTCCTGAAAAATCTTTGTTTGAAGGGGTATCTAGCCCTTTCCCTTAGCCCTACGTCTTCAAGCTAAAGAGAATTGGTACACCCCTACCTCTTCACGTGAACGCGCAAAATGAGGGCAAGGGGGTAAGGGAAAGGGCTAGAAGGGGTAGAATTGGGATTGAGCTTAAATGTAGATGCAGAATCACTGATATGTGTTGGTTTTGAGTAAAGTTTATTTTATTTTCAGAGGTGAACTATCTGCTACTTTCAGTAGTATGGCAATAGATCTCATGTGAAATGGCATTCAAACTTACATTATTAGCATTTTACACTGAATAAAGCACATGAGGTTTACCTGAGGTGATGAGGGGTGCAATACCTAGTTCAACCACTGGTGTCAAACTTGCATACTGCACCTTTAACTAGGTTAATTAGGGAAGTCAGAGCAATTCCTTAAATCATTGTATAACAGTGGTTTGTTCTGTAGACAATCGAAAAAATAAATATTGATTAAGGAGGCCAATAATATTGACCTTAAAATGGTTTTAATAAATTAAAAACTGCTTTTATTCTAGCCGAAATAAAAAAAAATAAAAGACTTTCTCCAGAAGAAAAAATATTATAGAAAATACTGTGAAAATTTCCTTGCTCTGTTAAACATCATTTGGTAAATATTTGAAAAAGAAAATAAAATTTCCAGGAGGGCTAATCAATTTGACTTCAGCAGTGTTTAGCATTGAGATTTTTGTTTCTCCTTTGTCTTCCAGTGCTGTGTTTACATGGACGAACCTCTTGGTGGTGGTGGTGGAGCTGGAAGGTTCTGAGCAGGAGGCTCTAGATCTGGTTCCAATGGTGACTAATGTGGTTCTAGAGGAGCACTATTTGATTGTGGGTGTGGTAGTGGTGGTGGATACCGGCGTAATCCCCATCAACTCTCGTGGAGAAAAGCAACGCATGCACCTGAGAGACGGCTTCCTCGCTGACCAGCTCGACCCCATATATGTGGCTTACAACATGTAGAAACGCACGCCGATGATATTAAACACATGAGATGCAGCAACCATCATTTCCAGCACCTTCTCACTGTCAGCACTTCTGCTCATTTGTTAGATTGAACGCCCTCAAAATAGCAGACACACACACACACACTCTCGCACATCATTCACAGAGGGACTTAAAAGACTCCTGTAGCATATCTTCAAGTTTTTTATTTCGTTTTAAAATTACGTATCGCCCTATATTTTGTTAGTGTTGTTTTTTTTTTTACTTGCATATGAAATTTTAATTTAAGGAACAGGATTTTATATTAATGCATATTGCTGTCATCAATCCGTGTTATTTATTTGTGTTTTTTTAAACCTGTGATCACAAATATATGTCATATTTGTGCTTTTACATACGTTTTGTTGCCTATATTGTTGTTTTATGCTTGTCTTTGTTGTTGTCGGTTGTATTAGAATATCACATACCGATTTATTCAGCATGTTTATCAGTTTAAAGATACTAATGTTGAGTCCTTTTCATAATTGTTAATTATGTACAGACATTTGGTTCAGGTTTACTTTTGACTTTTGTTTTGTTGTGAATTCATTGTTAGACTATTATGAATCATTTTATCATGTATTTGAATATGATCATATCTGCACTGTGATACGCATCAATATGTGAACTAGAATTTGCATTCTAGATTCAGTGGCCGGAGAGAGGGGGGGAGGAATGGAGAGTGACAGAAAGGGGACATATGCACAATGTGTGTGTTTAGTATATCTTTATTTATTTTTGAAGCTTCCATTACCTGTAAGATACGAAAGCACTTTGATTATGTCACTTATGTCTTTTCATATGTCAATAAAATATTTTCAACTATTCTTATTGAGAAAACACGTCTGTCTCGGGAACGTTCATTGAAGGATCATCGTGTGCATGCACTGTCCTCTAGTGGACTAAATCAGCAACACCAGCTCCACTTTACAGTCAGCATTTTCTCATTTATACATCCTCTGAAATACAACATAATGTAATGTTTTAAGGGAATGTGGGTTGTACTATAATTGAAAGCGAAATGGATGAATATGTGCAGAAAAAAGTGTTATTCTTGCACCAAATTGGTTGTGGCATGCTGTGTAAGATTGTTGCTGATCCAGGAGACAGAATCATGTTGATCATTTATACAGTAGTCAACATTTGGAGTAGATCACAACCCGTTATCAAAGTTGACCTAAATCTACTGAACAACACTACTTCTTTTCTTAAGACCATTTCGAAAACCTCTCTTTTTTTATCCATTTCATGCTGATTACTTAGATACACTTCATAAAAGCTGTCCTCAACCTATTGAACAACACCTTTTCTTGTAGGACAATTTGGAAAAAATAGATGTGTTGATCCACTTCAAGCTAATGTACAGATAAACATAAACAATTATATATTTTATGATAGATCACAAAATATTTAAAACTTCATGCTGACACAAAAATTCAGATTTTTAAAATACATAAATACAGACAGACAGACAGACGGATGGATCAATAGAACAAAAAAGTAAAAACATAGTGGACAATAATATTTCAAGAATAATGTTTTAATTTTTCTCTATATATACACACTCATCGGCCACTTTATTAGGTACACCTGTCCAACTGCTCGTTAATGCAAATTTCTAATCAGCCAATCCTATGGTAGCAGCTCAATGCATTTAGGCATGTAGACATGATCAAGACAAACTGCTGCAGTTCAGAAAGAGCATCAGAATGGGGAAGAAAGGTGATTTAATTGACTTTGAACGTGGCATGATTGTTGGTGCCAGACGGGCTGGTCTGAGTATTTCAGAAACTGCTGATCTACTAGGATTTTCACGCACAACCATCTGTATGGTTTACAGAGAATGTTCTGAGAAAGAGAAATATTCAGTGAACGGCAGTTCTGTTGGCACAAATGCCTTGTTGATGTCAGAGGAGAATGGCCGGACTGGTAACAGTAACTCAAATAACCACACCTTACAAGTATGTAGAAGAGCATCTCTGAATGCACAACACGTCTAAACTTGAGGCAGACGGGCTACAACAGCAGTTTACCACAGTGGGTGCCACTCCTGTCAGCTAAGAACAGGAAACTGAGGCTACAATTTACACAGGCTCATCAAATTTGGACAATAGAAGACATAAAAAAAACACTGCCTGGTCTGATGAGTCTTGATTTCTGCTGCAACATTGAATGGTAGGGTCAGAATTTGGCATCAACAACATGAAAGCATGGATCCATCCTGCCTTGTATCAACGGTTTTGGTTGGTGGTGTAATGGTGTGGGCTGGGCATATTTTCTTGGAACACTTTGGGCCCGCTTGTACTGTACCAATTGTGCATCGCGTCAACGCCACAGCATACCTGAATATTGTTGCTGACCACAGTGTACCCATCTTTTGATGGCTACTTCCAGCAGGATAACACACCATGTCATAAAGGGCGAATCGTCTGGTTTCTTGAATACGACAAGAAGTTTACTGTACTTAAATGGCCTCCACAGTCACCGGTTCTCAATCCAATAGCGCACCTTTGGGATGTGGTGGAACGGGAGATTCGCAGTGTGCAGTCAACAAATGATGCTATCACGTCAATATCGACCAAAACTTATGAGGATTATTTCGAGTACCTTGTTGAATCTATGAGATGAGGGATTAAGGCAGTTTTGAAGGCAAAAGGAGGTCTAACCCGGTACGACAGCTGTACTGGTAAGGTGTATTACCTATAAAGCAGACCCGTAGCCAGGGGGGGTTTGAGTGGTTCAAAAGAACTACCCCACTGACAAACGTCCAGAATTTGCCATTGGTCCAGAATTGTTGCCACTATATTCTCATTTGACATATTTGGACTGTTATATCATCATACTTTGTGGAAATAACACAGTTTTTAAGAAAATGCGCAACTTCACATTAGTGAAGTCAACTTTTACTATTGACCTACTGTTGTTAAAAAAACATTTTACAAGTAGCCTAACTTTTATTCTAAATCTTGAACCTCATTCTTGAGAGACAAAACTGACCAATGAAAAGGTCTGAAGCACCAATAGCAGCCTATTACAGTTCATTTTAATTTTAATAAGGCTGTGTAAAAAGCCAAAATCAAACAAAATGTTTTCAAGGGTAGCTTAAATAATGTGTCGGTGCTCTTTGTGTGGGGATTCAGAATAAACATGGAAATCAGTTCAATGCACTCAAACAATGTGGGAAACATAATAAAAAAACCTTTATTGACATGGCTGTTCCTTAAACCTGTGGCTACATCAGGTTACCCTGATAAAGTCCAGTGTTATCAAAATGTGTAGGCGCAGTTTTAAGAAATAGCCATGTCAGTAAAGGTTTTTTATTATTTTTACACATTTTTCGAGTGCCTCAGACTGACCTTTGCTGTTTATACTAATTAGGCTGTTGTTGTTAGATTAATTTTCAAGAGAGGCTAGAAAAAAATCGTGAAGCTCTTTTTTATATGAGTTTATTATAAATCTTTAGGAAATATTTTGGTCATCTAAAATGAAGGATACAACAAGCTAATCCAGCTCAAAATCGTGCTTAAAATGCCACTTATTGGAGTATTTAAACATCATAATTATATAGAAAATGAGGTGAATAACTGCAAAAAAGTCCACATTTTGAGAAAAAAGAACAACCCTTTTCATCGAGCTGGCTACGGGCCTGTAAAGTGACTGGTAAGTGTAGATGGATGGATAGATAGATAGATAGATAGATAGATAGATAGATAGATAGATAGATAGATAGATAGATAGATAGATAGATAGATAGATAGATAGATAGATAGATAGATAGATAGATAGATAGATAGATGTTGACTGTCATCCAGCAGGTGGCGCTCTCGGGCCGCAGCTCCTCGCTCTGGCGCTTCCTGTCAGCAGAGCAGCTTTGAGTTTTTGGGTAAAGGAGGTTTGGTCAGAGCAGTGCGGAGCGGAGCGCGTGTGTTTCTGCAGGATGTGGTGAAGCGAAAGAGAGAGAGAGGAGGTGCTGCTGCTCGGGACAGCGAGACGTGGCGCGCGCTCACACGGACAGCAGCTGGAGACTCGAGCGAGTTAAAAGTTCCCTGGGAAGGGCGGAAAATCACGGGCCGACGGCCGCTCCATACAAGGCAAGGTCGGGTGGGGAGCAGTTTAGGGAGCAGCGCTGATCCAATCATCTGCGCTCCGGGGAAGAGCCCGGAACCAAAGCGACGCCACTCGTTTTGTTTTCTGTCCAAATCGGTACGCGTCCGAGATGTTGCTGTAGAAACTCTGACGCTTCTGTAGTTGTTTAGTGTTAGTTTTGTTGTTGTTTGTTTTGGATTTGCTTACTTTGGAGATGAGTGCGTCAGTGAACGGAGTGGAGCCCAAACCCGCTCCAGCGGTCAGCCAGAACGGACCCGGGTCTCCTCCTCAGACCCCCAAAGATGTCACACCACCGGAGCTTGAACTACCGGACGAGGAGCCGCAGTCTTCGGTCACGGAAGCCACGCAGATGGGGATTAAGTTCGCAAAGACGTTCCTACTGATTTTCCCTATATACTTGCTGGGATATCTGGAGTTCAGTTTCAGCTGGGTTTTGATCGGCCTGGGATTGGTGTTTTGGCTGAAACGGAATCAGGGCAGCAGGTTCGCCCGGGTGAACCAGGCGATGGCGTTTCTGGAGCAGGAGGAGCGCGCGGTGCGGCAGACCATCCGGAGCTCAGAGCTGCCGCCGTGGGTGAGTGACACACCGAACACACTTCTGTTTACAATTCAGACCGAGAACGTTGACCCCAAACTTGACCTGGACCTCTAATTCAAGCTATATCACAGTGCAGTTAAACCGGTGTATCCTTGTTCTACTTGTGTGTCTTGTGATACATTCAAGTGTGTGTTCACCACTGACATTACTAACATACCTGAGTGAGTCAGATCTAATCAAGAGCACTAATTAAATCTGCAGTATCAGAACCACCCATCCAACACGTTTACCACAACAGAATCATACTAAGGTCTAAAAAAAAAAAAAAAAAAAAAAAAAAAATATATATATATATATATATATATATATATATATATATATATATATATATATATATATATATATATATATATTAGTCTTTATTTAAGAGCTTAGGTCATCAGTTTTTTTTCTTTCAATTTATGTACATTTAATATATAAAATTTATTATACAAAATGTTGAATCTGGATTATGCTTTTCTATTACTAATAAAGGCTACTTGCAGATATCTTGAATTTTGTGCTGTTTCTGTACAGAATGTTTAAAAAATTATTTATGATAAACTAATTCAGTGTAGTATCTAAAACCTAACACTTTAGTTATAATAACTAATAACTTTTTAACTTTTATTTACCTTCAACTCTGCAAATCCAATTATTTTCACTTGTTTGGTAAACAAAGCTATTGAAGGCCTCTTGTAAAACATAAAATTATGTATTAATATGTAATAGAGTAATATAAAAAGCTGAACGCTATATATGTACACACATTTACATCAGTAAAGTGTATGCGTTTACAAAAATAAATGGACTGAATGATAGACTCAAAAATCTGCATAATTCTTCAGCCACAAATTCTGCATGGGCTTACTTATGGGTCAAAGATGAGATTTTTATCTAGTTTTGACTTCCATTTTAGTCCTGACAACAAATTTAATTGTAAAAAGTGAATGAAAGTACTGGTGAGGTCATTTTCCATCTTCATTCAGTGCAGCAGATACTCGTGTATGTATGCACTTAGGCCTCTCTCTTTCCAGGTGGGCTTTTAGGCACTCAAGGATGTACATTGATTGATCGCCATCTGAATATTGCATGGGATGTTTATGAGGGGTGCACCTCTAATTATACATTCTGAAACAGAAATATTAAATCAGAAGCATATGGCAAGCTCAGAAAAAAACAAACTTGAATAACTTTGAGGGTTTGACAAAGCTTTGACATGTCACACATTGACATGCCAGCCTGTCACGTGAGGTTTCTTCTCATACTGTACCACTGAAAATAATGATTAATTGGATTTACCTTCTTTTTTCTTCTTTTTTTTCTTTTTTTTTTGTTTTGTTGCAAAACAGTTACACGCGCTGATTTTAAACAGATAAATTCAATTTAGTAATGTTCAACTTAAGTTGTTTTTAAATTCAGCCCATATAGACTGTTTGCAACCACTTACCTTAAAAATAAATGAGTAAATCCAATGAATAGTTTTTCAGTGATTTTAAACTAGGGTTGCACAATATATAGTTTCAGCATCGATATCACAATGTGATCATTTGCAATAGATGCATCACATGCTTTATGCAATGTTGAGTTTGTATTCTAATTCATCATTTGCATGTGTTTTTGATGCCTGTGATTGTTTAATGATATTTAAAGCATTCAGGTATAAGAAGTACCGCTTGTGACTTTTTGTCTTTTTATTGAATTATTTTTATTTTTATCATTCAGTAGCTGTACTCGTCTGCTGTTTTAATTGTGTCTTTATATTTTAATTGTATCTTTTTCTTGATTGAATTTATGGATAGTTATACATGTAAATACATCACATGCAAATACTGAAATACACAGCAAATAGCACAGATCACAACAAAAATGTGTTGGCGTACCCCAAAAGTTTTTAGATTAATTATGAGATTTTATAGAGATGCAAATAGTAAACATCAATTCATCGATCATTGACTAAACATGTGCATGTAAATACTCACAACACATGCAAATACAGAAATGAACTGCAAATTGCACAGAGCACAACGAAAATGTGTCAGGGAAGTTTATAGATTTATTAGATTTTATGGAGATGCACTCCCACTGCGGAATCATGCCAATTGATCTAACATTATAAAGTCTTTCCAAATAGACATATTAATTCATCTGGTGTAATTGTATTCATATCACAATATATATCGCACAATAATTTTTTTTTTATAATGTTAGATTTTACCAATCATACAGACCTTCTTTCTAAACAATTGATTTTCTGTCTAACCTGAGCTCATCGCTCTGCTCTATAACTCTTGTTCTGAGCTCAAAGCGTCATTCAGCAGCAGCAGCAAACTCCAGAGTTCACCCCAGGACCTATAACTCACTCTCTTGGCATGCTCTGCACAGAGACTACCTTTGTTTTTGTTTTATTTCAGTTTAAGGCCGATGTTAAGTAACATGAACAGGTAATTCATGAAACTCAGGTTGACTGATTTTTTTGACTTGTGCTTGTTGTTTCGTCGATCGTTTTGTTTGATTTGTGAACATTGTTGACACGTTTATTATTGATAGCTTGCAAAAATGAAACTCGCTGCATAAAGTCAAGTCAAAGCCAGCTTTATTGTCAATTTAACCACATCTACAGGACATACAGAGAATTTGTAAATGAGTTACTCTCAGACTCTAGCTGCATAACAGATAATAAAATACAAAAAGTAGAATTTTAAATGACAAAAATTTACAATAATTACAATTACACATGTAATAAAAAAAGTAAACGAGTAAATAAATAAATATAAGTAAAATAAAGTTGTATAAAATATAATTAAAATTAAGGGCACAAGGCAAGGAGTGCAAGCAGAGTTGTGCAGATGCAGAACAATATATTGTGCAAAAATCTTGTAAATATGATAAAGTGTCTTAATATTCAGGGAGGTAGTAAGAGGTTACTTTTCAACAATTATGTGTTGGTGAGAAGTGGTCTGGGTGTTTGTAAAGGCAGTTGGTACATTGTTAATGTGTCTGTCAGGTGACGCCGCATATGGTGAAAGAACCTCTCCTTGTAGTGGGTGTGTTGTGTTAGGATAGTAACTGTTATTATGGTAATATTATGACGACATCACTAACACAATGACTCAAACGCTTGAGGAAATGTTTCCATGGTGACCTGTCAGTCAGATGAGGTGCATCACATTCCTTTTTTGGACAATAGTGTGTGAGAGAATACAGCGAGTGTTTACCTGGGGGGCAGATTTTGTAAAGGCAGAGCGTCCGCCCTGTTGTGTGTTTGTGTATGTGTTTAATAACCAACAAGTAAAACATTTTGTCAAATGTGGTGATAAAAAGAATTGACCATATGTGTTTTGTTTGTCTAAGCTTGTCTTACTCGTTTTGTAAAAAAAGGCCCTATGCGATCTATTTTATTTTTTCACAAATTAATTTATATTTATTTAAAAAAAAAAGAATTCTGTGTTTTTTTTCGCCTATTTTTTTTAGAAAAATTAAAAGCATATAATATTTTTTTTACTTATTTATTTTTGGCTTTACTTTCAATTAGTTTTTCTGAATTTTCAGTAAAGAAAAAGGTTTAAACATGATTTAGGCCTGTCACAATAATCGATATATACACTACCTGACAAAAGTCTTGTCGTTGATCCCAGTTATAAGAGCAACAAATAATAGCTTGACTTCTAGTAGATCATTTGGAAAAGTGGCAGAAGGTAGATTTTTCTGATGACTCATCTGTTGAACTGCATCCCAATCATCATAGATACTGCAGAAGACCTATTGGAACCCACATGGACCAAAGATTCTGACAGAAATCAGTTAAGTTTGGTGAAGAAAAAAATCATGGTTTGGGGTTACATTCAGTATGGGGTCATGCGAAAGATCCGCAGAGTGAATGGCAACATCAACAGCACTCCTTCTCATACTTCAGCCTCCACATCAAAGTTCCTGAAAGCAAAAAAGGTCAAGGTGCTCCAGGATTGGCCAGCCCAGTCACCAGACATGAACATTATTAAACATGTCTGGGGTAAGATGAAGGGGGCGGCATTGAAGATGAATCTTGATGATCTTGATGCAAGAATGCTTTCTTTGCCATTCCAGATGACTTTATGAATAAGTTATTTGAGTCTTTGCAGAGATGTACAGATGCAGTAGTCCAAGCTTTTCCACTGCACCATGACTTTATATTCTATACTGTACATTATTTATGTTAAGTAACAAAACTTTTGTGTAAGCAAAGTTAGACCTTACTGTCCTAATTAAATAATTAAAAAATCAAGGCATGATCAGATTTTATTTTGGTGAAATAAGGGGAATCTAGAGACATTTGCCTGCCTCTCATATAAGCCACTTTTGATACCAAATGACCAACTTGAAGTCAAGTTATTATTTGTCGTTTCTAAAACTTGGATAGGCGACAAGACTTTTGTCATGTAGTGTATATGCTCAATCACCATGTTTACATAAGACTGAATGTCACCAGTATTTTAGCTGACTGTGCATCCTCTGTCATCTCATCTAATCTGTGTTTTAGGTGTGCGCGAGCTCAGAAATTATGCTTATTTATATATTTCCTTGAAAACTATTTTGGACCAAAGTTGTCCAAATGAACTCATGGAAGACATCAATTCACATAAAAATAACATTAAAGCACGTTTACAACCACAATTGCATTCTATATTACCAATGTCCATGTTTATTTTAGGACATTTACTTTATTTAGCATGGAATTGCAGAATCTAACCTTTAGGATGAAACATTTTTGTACCTTGATAGCGCTTTATTAAGCTGTTGTATTGACTTTATTTTTTTACGTACAAGCCTTTGGAATCTTTGAGACTTCCGGTCTTATTCGCATTCATTGATTTATAGACGTTACAAACAGCTCACTATGCTTCATGTTGCAAATGTATATATTTTTTTATTATACTATTCTACTTTTCATGTAATGAACGCACTTGAGCAAGTGTCCGTTTTCTGCTGTTAATTATTCCTAGTCATTTCTCCCATGC